GGACCTCTTAGGAGCATGTACACGAATTCTCAAGGCCTAGGGGTCTTTATATAGGGTTTAGATTAGAGTTTCAGTCCTTATCCTTATCTAGTTGCTTGCCCACCAAGCAACCACAAGATAAGCCTTGAAAAACCCTTATCTCTTGGACCTTGGACGATTTTAAGGATATCCTTATCCTTGAATTCGTCCATCCTTTAATAAGGATAATTATTGCCCTATCTTGCAACTATCTCATAATTACAATTCAGCCCCTCTAGTTTAATTAATTACACTTGATCACAAAATTAATTCCTAATTAATTATTGACCAATATTAATTAATCAAATATGATTTTTCCTTTAATATATTATTCTTATAACATATTAATAATTTATAATAACCTCTCTCTCTATTTAATTTCTCCAGTCAAGTTGCTTTGGTGAAGGCAACCCAAAAGGACCATGCACAACCGGGTCAAGTATTTACCAAATATGGTTACGGGCTTAGACACTAATCCAACACTATACACCTATGTGCATAAGGTGTATTGGCTTGATACATGGAAAGAGATGTACTCCTTCAAGGTGGAGCCTATCAAAGGTAGATCCATGTGGCCTAAGAGTGACTGCCCAACAACTCTTGTGCATCCACCTCACAACAAAGCTATAGGCAGGCCAAAAAAGAAAAGGAGGATTACAACAGAGGAAAGGATTGAAATCCAGCAACGTAAGAGGCAAGCAAACAGTCAAAGTCAAAATGATAATGAAACTCAATCACTCAGCAGGAAGTTTTTGACTGTGACATGTAGTAAGTGTAAACAAAAGGGTCACAATGCCAGGACCTGCAAGGCCAAAGATGGGAATTGATGTTTAAGTACTTAAGTTGTTTATGTTTGTGAAGACTTGCTAATGCACTTTAGTTGGTACTTTGATGCCTTTTTTTGGTTCCATTTTGATTATGTACTTTGATGCCCTTTTATGGAACAATGTGCTCCAATGTTTTGGTAATGTACTTTAATGCCCTTTGTTGGTAATGATTGTGTTTTGGCATTAATCTGTTATGGTGCCCTTTTGGTAATGTAGTTTGTTATTGGTTTATTTTGTATTGTCAAAGAATGAAGATGTTATGGCAATACACTTAATATATGCATGTAAAACCATTACAATTGCATATTCAAGCATAGAGAAAAACCATTACACTTGCATATCATGTCAAGATAAAACCTTTATAATTTCATATTCATAAAAAGATAAAACCATTACACTTCCCATTGTCATAAAAGCATTACATATCGATTGATCCAAAAGACAACACTTACAACATATATAAACCACAATTAAACCTTCTAGCACCAAAAGACAACATTTTCAAGTGGTTATTACCAACAAAAAAGCCCTAAACTCTAATTCCTAATTCCAAAACAGCACAAACAACAGAAACAAGACCCACGAGGCAAGCAAACACATCTTCAGCTGACCCACTTCAACCTCATACCTATTCATTGTTCTCAACAGTCCTGGTATGATAACAGTTGATCTTTGACACATAGGGGGATCGACCCACCCCAAAAATCCACATCTGGATCCCTACAAGAATACATTAAAGTGGAAGAGTTATTGCATAACTACCGAAATATCATAACCTAATATGAGTTTGCTTACCATTTTAGGGCATGCATAGAAACGACGACCAGGGTTTCGTGAGGTCCATGAGGTTCGCACAACAGCAACATTCCCACAAAAGCAGAGCACCGTTTTTTAAGCTCGTAGCAGTAGAAGTAGATGAGAGACGAAGAAGAAGAAGACCTTTATTGCTGCTTCTCTGTAAATCAAAATGAAGAATAAGAAGGGGATTGCGTATGAGTATGTATATAAAGGAGAAATATGATATTATTTAAAATAAGGACCTAAAATGACCAAAATTCCCTCACATGGAGGGCATGTGATGGCATTAACGGCTCCAAACAAACGGACAATGACGGAATGGACTAAAAACCCATGAAAACCTTGATTTTGGACCATCGATGCAAGCTGGAAACTTTTTGGATCCCATCCAAAGGTTTTGGCAAACCACAAGGACCAAATTTGCAGTTTTGTCTACATTTTACAAAGAAACTATTTTATATTCATAAATGAATATTTGAATAAAACATATATATTCATATTTTTTATTCACATATGAATATGTATGTTATATTCATATGTGAATAGAACATATACATACAAGTCATTTTTGTTATATGAATATTTGAATAATGTATATATGACAGCAAATTATGTTCTATTCATATGTGAATATAATATATATATAACTTAGTTTTGTTTGTGTTCAGAAGTAAACAAAACATATCAAAACAAAATTATCTTCGGTATCTTCATTTACTATTGTATTTTTTAAGTAAAATTTCATCTAAATGTTGGCAATCACATATGAATAAAGTTAATCAGATCTAAATAGAATACCTATTTTATTTACCTTTTTCATTGGTTTTTGTTTTTCGTTTATATATATGCTTCTGTAAGGGTAAGTAGTTAATATTAGGACAACATAAACGAAATGTGAAGTAACGTTTATATTTTAACAAAAAAGTTGTGAATAAGTATGAAAAATGAAGAGAATATGTAAAATCATTTATATATCAACTAATAATGGATGATTATTATAAAAATTTCAAGTAAATCAACTAATAATGAAGGAGGATTACGAGAATGAACGAGGATCACAAAATTTGAAGTAAACAACCTAGTTTGAAGAATGAACAGTGTGAATACAAAATTTTTAGTTCTAAATCAACTAATAATGAAGGACGATTACTAAAAATTTCAAGTAATCAAGTGATAAGTTTAGAAATGATTACAAATCGTTAAAAATCAAAGAAAAAAACGTCGATGATTATTTTTCATAGTCAACAGTGAGGAAATTGTTTCGTTTAGGTTTTCGTCGGAAGATATTTTTTCTTCGATTTGTTCTTCGCGATGTTGATAATGCCATCTGCGATTGAATCTTTCTGCAAATGGTTTTCGTGTTATGGAGAAACGATGATGTGTTCGAAGAGGGAAATGATGGTTTTGCCGTCGAGATTTGATGTGCGATAAAATTACTCAAGTACCCTGACGGTTTAATGTTTTTGGATTATTTACAAGTTTGTCATCACGTTTTTATGTTTTTAAAGCTATTAAATGATTGGCTGAGAATGGTTCCCCCATTCTCAACTTTTTTTTTCTCAATTGAACCCTCCTATATATATATATATATATATATATATATATATATATATATATATATATATATATATATAAAAGAGAGAGAGAGAGTTAAAAGTTGAAAAAATTATTTTATTTTTATTTATTTATTTATTTAATTTTTTACATTTTTGACCGATTAACAACGGTTCAAAATATTACCATTTCCAATTGTTTTTGATCGAAAATTGTCGTTTCTATACGTTATCACCATGTTGCAACGTAATAAGGTATAACGGCTATGGGGCGCGGTCTTTGCGCCGTTATACCGGCGTTTTCTTAAGGCCTAGTCGGATTAACGGGAGAGCACGTTGCCCACTCCTCGCCGTCTAAAGGTTGTTATGACAATGTTATGTTGGAGGTATTCTTATGATTTATTTACTTCTAATATTAGTTGTACATATTTTTAAGATTTTCTAAGTTCCTATTTTATAAGAAATTGAGAATTTGGAGTGTTACAAGTTACCACTTTGTTCCTATTATTTTATTTTGTTTTTGTATATGAAAACGTGTTTATAGACGGAATAATCTACTTTCTTTTGTGTATTTGAAGTCATTGACTATTAAGCTCTTAAATTCTAATATAAAGAATCGTTGGACCCGCTAACGTATCAAATAAGAAAAATGTACCATCTGAACGCAAAATGCTCAATCGTTGCACCAGTTATTCATCGACGAGGTTCAAATCCTCTTTTTAATATTTGTTAATGACATTATATTTTCCTTTTCTCAAATTTCGCAAATCCGTTTTCATTTTCTTTTTCTAGTTATACATGTGCAATAAATCAAATGAACTCAAAAACATAATTGAAAAATCAAGCATGAACAACAAGAATTGTATCTAATTCTTTCCGTCCAGATCATTGTTTGAAGTATAATATCTTTTGAGGAACAATGTTATAATTGGATAGATTGTCCAAAGTATAGTGTGTTAATAGAAAAAAAAAAATTAAAAAGAAAAAAAAAAAAAAAAAAAAAAAGTGAAACTACATATAATACACAAAAACCAAAAATACAATGCGACTTGTAATTATTCTCGTTCTAAAATATACACAGTAATATGAAATTTGCCAATATAGCCAACTAACTATTGTGTCCTGAAATTGTTAAATTTGGGTTTTCTTTGAAACGTTATCTTGTAATTATTCTCGTTCAGTTTTTTTTTTTTCCTTTCAGCAACCTTACCAAACATAATTACTTTACCAAATAGCACTGATTCATTCAGTGTCTCTTAATGGTTTAGCACTGAAACAGATCCTATGTTCCAAGTTAAAAGTAGTAAATCATCTTTCAGGTTATGTACAAAGATGCAGATGTTCAGAATCAGATATGACCAGTCTTCAAATCCTTTAGAACAATATCTAACTGGTTTTCCAAGCTGAAATCAACCGATTAACTTCAAAATTCAAATGCCTTAGATGCAAGAGCAAGAACATTAAATTTTCTCCACAACGTTGATAAAAATGATGATTCTCATTAAACCTAGAAAAAAAAACCCCTAAAATTTCTACCAGTACCTGAACCAAATCGCTAAGAAAACCAGGCTCTTAATCGATACAAATATGACTTACCAAATTGCTTAAGATGCACATAAAATCACATGTAAGAGAAACAGGATGCTGATTTAAGTAACAGATTGGAGTAGAAAATGTAGCTCACAAACTACAACAGCTTAATTCGGATTGGATTAAGGAGCAGATTTGCCATAGATACAACAAGTAGAGCTAAAGGAAACAACAACATCGAAACTGTTACCATTTACCAACCGAAACAATAGCATCAGTTGATGTCGGCATCATTGAAATCGTCTTCGAAGGAGTTGAAGAAATCGGAATCGGTGAGACGGTGGTGGTCGGCGGTGTCTAACGGACCTTCTCTGAAGATATCTAGTGCTTCAGCGTCATCGACATCCATCTCCATCGTCGACGCTTGATCTTCCATCTCCACGTAGAGCTCCGCTGGCGTTGGCTTCATTTTCAGTTTCTCTGTCTTGATAGTTCTCGAGCCCCAATATTCCCAATATCGTAGATGGGAAATTGCAGTTGTGGTCCCTGAATAATTGAATATATATACTCATGTAAAACGTTTCGTCCCTAGACTTCTAAAATATTGACATTTAAGCATTCGAAATAAAGATCTATTTGACAATTGTAATGAAAATTGTAAGGTTGTTAAGAGCGGAATTTTATATATAATTACTTTTTCGGTTTGCAAAGGTAGTGATAATATTGAATCAAATTGTAAGATCATATCAAAAGTATTTTAAAATATAAAAAATATATATTCATTACATGATAAAATGATATTCTATGTAGTTAGTTGAGAAAAAATATTTAGAGTTTTTCTTTTAAATACTAACGATCCTATTATCTTACGATCAATCATACGAATATATGATCATACATCGATCTTATAAAGCCAAGGAAGATCAAAATCAACACCTTACAACCTTGGATAATTGTTTTGTACTAGGAGTCAAGTGTAGGTGTTTCCCTATACAATCAACACCTTGCATCGGTATTAATTCATTACATCGTTTCTTGTGGAGGTTTTGAATTTAGAATTCAAAAAGTAAGAACATCTTCAATGGGAGGATTTTTTTATAGCTTATTCATGTGAGTTTTTTTTATTGAGCACTTAATATCATTTGAGTAGGTAGCTTTTTGCTTTTTTAGTTTGACCACTCAATATATATTGAGTGGTCAATACAATGATATAATTTGTACATATAAACCCTTCTAGTTTAACCGTATTTCATTTATCTATTTAATTATAATTTAATTTTAAATATTTTTAATTTTTTATTATTATTTATCACTGTTAAATATTTAATAACATCTCATTTATAAAAAAATTAAAAAAATTATGACAATATTTTAATATTTTCAATGTTTTACTTGTATTTTTATAACTATAACATAATAATTTTTTATATTATATATATAAATAATGAGCCTATATTCCTGTATTTATATGTTCGTGTTAAAAACTTATTTGTTTTAAAAATGGACAATCCAAATGAAGATTTTTATAAAATATTTCAGATATATAAGGGTATATTGTTAAATTTATTAAAAAAACTATGTAAATAAGTTCAACCATTGGAGCGCTTATTTATTTAGATGCCAATTTCATAAAATAATGATATGACAATTATTTTGAGTCATAAAATAGTGTAACCATTGGAGATGTTCTAAGTAAACATGCAAATGGAACACAAAATTAAATTCATGTAATTAATTTCTCTTTGACATATATTAAGATCTCAACATAATATTCCATAAATCATAAAAATTTATAATGCATCAGTTCCCAAAAATCTAAATCAACTAAAATTTTAAAATAAGTCACATGCAAATTTGATGTGAATAGACATAGTTTGAGAGTCATGCTTTGCCTGGGGCAACAACTTGGTGATTAGATCAACTAAGTTCCCTAATGTAACTCTGCTAACTATGGTGACTCTTTCTGACTATATGATGTGTGCTTTTATGTGTGAACACATTAAGATCTCAAATAAATTCCTTCATATTCTCTTTTTCAACTCCATTAGTCGGAATATACTCACCCAATTGTCTAATTAGCCACAATATCTTGCTTGGAACTCTTCTAATTCACCATTAATCCAAATCTTTTAAATATGAATCCATAATGAATACAAGGATTATCTATATCATTTTCGAAGTCTATATCATGTAAATCATTACACTGGTCTCTTCCTTAATCACTAATGATCAAGGTTATCTTCAAACACATGAGAATTCCCTTGACTTCTATCCAATAGGTTTTTCCAAGATTTTCCTGGTATCGACCCGTCATGCTCAAGGCATACGATACATCAGGACTTAAATATAAATGATTAGTCCTATAGCCAAAGTATATAAGACTTGACTCATTATATCTAACTTTTTAGTGGAACTAGGACATTAAGCTTATGTCATTCCTTAACAATGTTGTATAAGTACAAATTCATCTTTGAGCCTTGCATCTTTAATTTCTTATGTATGTTTTTTGGGTTTATCTGTTGAAACACTTAGATATATCTTTAAAGATCTTATTGCTTAACATGCATATTTCATCCCTATGTATTTCATAAAAAAGTAATTCCCTAGCCAAGGTCTTTTATCCTTTGTATAGTATGTACATCGTTTCCTAAACAAGGAATACTATAGTGTGCTCCCACTAGTCTTGACATATACTCAAAGCTCATACTCGCTTCCGATAAAGTTATACTCATTGAATTCTTATCAAAGAAAAGCTCTCAGCTCTAAAATACTTGTTTGAATCCATACATGGACTTATAAACATTACACACTTTGCTTATGATGTACAAACTGATGGGTTTTTGTGGTTACAACTACAATGCCTAAAGCGGAAAACAATTAAAACAATTCAATTCATTAGGGAACATGCAACCTAGTTTGATCCATGTCTTTTACATATATCAACATACTACGATCACTAGCATACAAAACTTTCCTATGAATAAACTAATTCATAAGACAACAAAACTAACCTTTAAGATTGTTATTGTAAACAATCTTGAATTCCTCCTTGAAAGACTCGTGGAAGCAAGTGCCACAAGTGTCGCGCCTCTAATGGTTCACACCCAAACCCTAGAAACCAAGGAGCTTGAAGAGAGAGAGAGAGAGAGAGGAGAATAGTAGAAATTTTGGCCTTATGCCTCTAGGAAGAGCATTAATGAAATATTAAACCCTTAGGGTTTTATATAGGAGTTTAGGAAGGTGTTGGATAAGGCCCGTATCTCCAAGATAACCCTAATCTCTTTTCTTCATCCCTAAGGCATCCATGGCACCCTTAAAGCCGAAGGAAACCCTAGAAGGCTTCTAGATTTCGTCCCCTCCTTATGGGAGGTTCTAGAATTGCTCAATGCTCAACTATCGAACATTGTTACCTTTAATCCTCCTACTTTTAATTAATCAAATTAATCCTAAAATTAATTCTAATTAATTATTAATTAAATAATACTATTTACAATTAATATATTATTCTCATAATATATTAAAAAATTATTTATTTGATTTCAAATTACTTTATTAACCATATATTAAATTAGTAAATCAGTCTCTCTCTCTCTAAAAGCTATCCTACTTTATTGCTAGGTTTGAGGGAAACCCAAAAGGATTGTGCTGCTATCAATTCAAGTTTATACCAATTATAGTTATGGGCTTAGACACCTAATCCAACAGTCTCCCGCTTGGATAAGTCTGTAACTATAATTGTCAGTATAACTTCCAAACTGATCATTAAATTGTAGCTTCTAAAAGTTGTTGTCGAACTCTAACCCAGTTAGTTACGTGTCCTAAGATAATTGATCAAATATTCCTTCGTTCTACAAGATATCCTACAGACATGAGACATGGATTATAATCAATCTCATTGTCCAAGTTTTGTTTCCCGATTTCTGATTTATGACGACTGAATTCAGACTACCAATTTAACACATCAATTCAGTCTAGGCTTGGCCAAGCACTTCAGATGTCGACATCAAATCATCTAGGGGCCCAAAGATATCGCTTTTCCCGTTAGGGCAAAAGGAACGAATAAAATTTGACTTATATGATTGTACTATTTACTCATCAAATCATGCACAACAATACATTTTATAATATCAAGTTATAGATGCGTTTACGTATTATCAATGCACAACTGACTTGTAAACAACAACTCATATATCTTCGTTTCAAGAATATTAGATATTATCGTCTCAAAATTACTCGTGATAAAATCCATGAAGTAATTCTCTAAGCGTGGGTTTATCCAATACTTAAAATCCCAATTTTCAAAGTACTCATGAACATTGTAGCAAAACTATTGCTATGTCTAAAACTTTTCAGACAATCTACAATCGAGTTCATGACAGTCTTAATTCACGACTTACTTCCAAAAGTACGAGCGACTGTGGAATTTCGAATAATCAAATTTTTCAGGAAGTAAAACATGCGAAGTGAAACACAATAATAACGTAATTAACTATGGTCTCAAAATTATTGAATATAAATAAAACCCTTATTGTTTAATCACCATATTAATTAAGACTTTATTCATTGTATAATGGTTCGAGTAATCAACTAACCACTTGAATTAAACATCAGTCATGCCATGTTATTAACATGCATACTATGCCTCTCTATGGTCCTTCTTTTGTGAATAGATTGACTGGACACTATTCCAATAATGCTTGTTTCACAATTTCAAATTCTTGTTACTACTAAAATGTGTTAGAATTCGAACCTTACATACATTGTCCTTTTGTGATGTCAAGGCTTCAAAGTCACAGAGACTTAGCCAACGATATTACAAAACGTTCCATCAGAACTTTGTTACTAAAACAATTCCATGGTAATGAAGTCTCAAATTCAAGGAACACTCCTTGAACACCTTCCTCACATGTAGATTTAATAATCAACTCTCACTATGGAAATATTTCCATATACCCATATGACCATCAATTTTTGATCAAAAATCATCCCAATCTAAAACATGTCATTATGGTCCTTCCAACCAATACTATACTTCCAACTGTCCACAAACAACCAATCCTTTGGTATAACCTCAGAATGTTCTTGATGGTTGTTCAACTTTAGTCACACAAAGTTCTAGTCCTTTTTCCCTCTCAATGCCCAAGGCATTTGGAAAAATCAGAACAAGTGAATATTATAACATATATAATCGATCCTATATCCGACGCATATGGGACTCGATTCATAAGAACCTGATATTTGTTCAGTCTCTTGATATAATATTTCCATATATCGAATTTACTATGTTGAATCATTTCAACATGATATTCATATATGTCCATGACCCACGTTCTATTAAATTATGCAATCTAAACTTTTAGATTCGAAACGAAGTATGAGTGCCCTCTCCCTTAAGCCTTTACTGTATCGAAACAATTTCCAAACTTTGAAACTTGCAAATTTGTAAACTTTGTTTCCTACAAATAGTATTACCAACTTGCAACACTTAGCATAACAACTATTCTCCCACTAGCATAACAATTATGCTCCTAATAGTACAACAATTATGCTCCCACTAGCTTTGACATGTATTTAGAAATCAACTGAACTTCTAGAAATCAATACTCTTGACTTTCTTACTGAAGTATAGATTTATGATACGCGATGCTTCGATAAGTATCCAACTAGACTTCTCAAGCTTATACACCTTCATTAGATAGTATATGTGTGTGTTTAAACCTTTTCAAAACTTATAACCATATGTCATGAAAGTTCAAACAATTCCTTGCCATTTCTCACAAATCGAACTCTGAAAAGGGATGCCGTAATCATATTGCGAATTTGAGAATGCAATTATCACAACTACTAACCATAATAATATTTATCAAAATTTTAAAATCT